GCCAACGACGACGAATAAATCGCTACTTTTTGTAAGGGACGACCAATTTTGTGCAGCTCCCTTTTGCGGTCTTTTCGCCTCTTGTAATCGAGAAGAGGGATAGGAAGATACACAAGAAAAAGGTTCGATCTTTGATGCTTTGTTCTAGTTTTGGATTTTTTTTTTCCGCCGCGGAATGTGATTTTTTGTGCCGGATTGCAGTTGGGTTTTGTGTGTTTTGTGATTTTAGTTTCATGGTTGATGTGAAAATATGGACTTTTTATGTTTGTTTTTGTATGAAATGAATGATTGTGTGAAAACTGCAAATGGCTAGTCTCTGTTTTCCTAAATGTTTGATATCTCATCATAAATATGCTTTCTTTGCATCTTTAATGAGAAAATTTTGAATCCATGTCTCTGCACCCAAGTTTGAATCCCCATCTCCGTGGTTTGATGAATTAGTGTAGAATATCGCTTGTGTCAAAGAAAAAAATTGAATTGGTTGTGTTTACCGTTATCATTTCGACGGTTTGGTGATGTATGAGATACATTGTTCTTGTTTTGGTATTGATGTTTGCAAATGCAGATCATAGATGGTTTTGCATTCATCTTGATTATACCTTTGGTTTTTCAGGTTTTGAACAACGAGCTCAGTAATCGAGACTAATTCTCCGAGGAGACCAATCATGGTATGTCTAATGTCTTACATATCTGCATTAGACCTCTTGCTCTTTGTATTAGACCAATCATGGTACGTTGATCGTAGAATGTCACAAGTTGATGCATGAGGTATCTGAAGGGCATCCCATCTGAATTAGGAGGTTGAATGTTCGATTATCTGGTGTTCGATAAGTTTTAGGCGATGTGGCAGTGACAAGTTCTTAGGAGTACTAAAAAGGATAAAACCCTAATCCAAGAATGGGAAGAGAAAGAAAGAGACAATTAGGGACTGTCAAAGTTTAAAAAGGCTCACCATAAATGTTAAAGCTTTGAGAATGTAATCTCTAAATTCTTTTGCAAGCTTTTGTTTCTGTTCATGATACAATATGAAATCTGCATTTTTTTGTTCACTGGAACTATTGCGAGCGTTATCTCACTCACTCTTTCTTGGGAAATTATAATACTTTACAGGGTTGTCAGTTTGCTATGTCGTCTTCTTCATAATGGAAGTAGAGAACATCGGTATCCCAGTGATCCTACAAGTCCTGGACCTTCGTGGTGACAAGGCCAAAAATAATTCGATCCCACAAGAACCAGAGTCCAATTGGGGTGACGTTGGCAGTAATACCAGAAGGGATTCCATCCCTGAAATCCCACCGGAAATGGATCTCAAGGGTGGTGATGTCAGAGGTAACTTTGTCCTAGGGGTTCCACAGGACACAGAGCCCAATGGCAGTGATAGCAGAAGGAGCTCTATCCCAGTGATCCCACAGGAAATGGATCCCAAGGGTGGTGATGTTGGAGGTAATTCGGTCATAGGTAATTTGGTCGTAGGGATTCCACAGGACATAGAGCCCAATGGTGGTGACATCAGAAGGAGCTCTATTGGAAATGTTGATTCTCCTTCTACCGAAAGAAACTCTATCCCACTGGTCCCGCAGGACATGGATCTCAGCGATGATGATAGGAACTTTATTGCAACTGTCGCACGGGAAATAGAACCCGATGGCAGTGCTATCAAACAGAACTCTATCCTAGAGATCCCACAGAAAAAGGAGCCTGAGGGTGGAAACATCAGAAGCAAGTCTATCCTAGAGAACCTACAGGAAATGGAGTCTAATGCCGGTGATATCAGAAGAAGCTCCATTGATAAAGTAGATCCTCCTGCTGACATCAAAAGGACCTCTATCCCAGTGATCCCACAGGAAATGGAGCCTAATGGTGGTGATGGTAGAAGGAACTCTATCAGAGTGATCCCACAGGAATTAGAACCCAATGGCGGTGGTATCGGAAGGAACTCTATGCCAGCGGTCCCACAGAAAATGGAACCAAATGCTGGGGATACCAGCAGGAACTCTGTTCTGTGGATCCCACTTGAAATGGAACCAAAGGGTGGTAGAAGGATTCAGTCCCGATATCTCAGAGCTCCAACAGGTTCCTGCCATGATTATTGCAAATATGGAGTGAGAAATGCTTCTGAAGAAAATGCAACTGCCGCAATGCGAAAATCGGCAACAGAGAGGAAACAGATGTCCACTACAAATCAAAAGCCTTCTGATTCCGGCACCAAGAAGCTTGACAATTCTGCCATCACAGAGAAAAAAGTTTTGTCATTGAGGAAGAAGGAAATTGTTTCTGCAGAAAAGGTTCCATCCTCTTCCAAGGATATTGATGTTTCTATGGAAGATTCCTCCAGTTTGAAGGTGAAGCGTGTGCAATCAGAGCCATCTTCTCTCCGAGAACCGGCTTTAAGCCTGAGAAATTCAAAGGCGATATCCACAACTGGATCGAGGTCTGTTCCACATTCCCAAACCTGGAAACTTAATAACTCTGTCGTCATGAAGAAAAAAGGTTCGTCATCTACAAAGAAAGAAACTGCTTCTTCAAAGAAAGTTTCATCTCCCAAGGAAATAGCCATTTGTATGGAAGAGTTGATTGATTCGATGATGAAAGCTGAGCAGTTAGATCAATCTTCTTTCCCAGGATCAGACCCAAGCCTGAGCAATTCGGAGGTGACATCGACAATCAATTCTAAGCCTTCTCCAGATTCCGAGTCCCAGAATTCTATTGCCACGCTGAAAAGAGTTTCACCTCACTATAAGGATATAGATGTTTCTGCTGAAGATTCCACCGATTCAAAAGTGATGTCAACAGTCAATCCTAATCCTTCTCCAGATTCTAAAGCACGGAAACTTAATCATTCTGGTGTCATGGAGAAAAGAGTTTTATCATCAAAAAGGAAAGAAAATGTCTCTTCAAAAACGGTTTTAACTCCCATTAAGGAGATTGAAGTTTCTATGGAAGGTTCCATCGGTTCAAAGGTGAAGCGTGAGCAAGTAGAGTCATCTTCTTGCACAGGACAAGGTTCAAGTAATCAAGGAAAGAGTGGAACTAGAAAAGGCAAGGAAATACCAGAAGGTTTGAGCAGCAGTGTCAATAGAAAAAACAGAAGCAAACCGCCGAGGACTCCTGTATTGGTTGAGAAAAAGATGTTAGAGCCTGACACCGTTTCTTTGACTTACAAACACCCCGTCAAGAGAGTCTCCAATGAAAATGCTGGAAGCTTTAAGAACCTTAAAGGGTTGTCTCATATGAAAGATCAAAATGGTCCCCGAAAAGTTGAACCTGAGGGACCCTGCAATAAGGATGTTCCAGAAAAGATTTTGTATGTCATCGAGTCTAATACTGAGAATAGTACTGTCGAACCAACTCCAAATGGTGCCGATGCCCCTGAGTTATCGTCGTCATCACATCAATCCTCGGAAGTCAAAAGCTCGAGACAAGCTAGGAAGGGAGTTGGTACCACTCGAGCACCTACATCCTCTATGAAGAAAAACTTGAAACGCACTGCAAATGGAGGTTATGGTCGTTCACCTACTGTTCCATCCCCTAAAAACAAAGGCTTGAGGCGTAGTACTCAAAGACCTTTATCTTCATCGTCATCCTTATCATCATCATCCGCGTCTGCATCCCCAGCCAAGTCCACTCATAAAAAAGAAAATGGCGCCACCTCTCAACGCAAAGCAATGAAACCTGGTAATCAAAGAGCAAATTTGAAGGTGGGGAAGAGTACTAGGCCTCGAAAGTCTGAGATACTTAGCTCTGAAAGTAAAAACAGCTCAGCCCGAAAGCTGACATTCAGGAGAGGAAGGGTGCTTGACATTAAGCCTGAGATCAATACTACAAGGAGACTCAAATTCAGGCGAGTAAGATTGGCAGGGGAGACCCAAAATGGTAAGGGTGGTGTCATAGGGGGAAGCGCCAGGAGGAAAGAAGTATGCGACAGCCAGTCAATTGGTGATGTATTCCAAAGGTTAAGCCCCTGGTGGAATGTAGTTGATCACAGTCACTCAAATGGTGCTTTTATCAAAAGGCGAAGCCTTGGGAGGATTCAAGTTGATGGCAGCCAGTCAAATGGTGGTAAATTCAAAAGCGAGAAAGTTGTTCCGAGAAGCTTCAAACGAGATGTGGAAGGTTCACAAAGGAAGAGCTTGAGGAGGAAAGCGGCCGGTGATAGTGGGTTGAATGGTAGTACTAAAACGAGTCCTGAGAAAGTTGTGTTGAGACACCAAGGTGTGACAGGAAGGAAGGATGTGCAGAAGTTGTTGAATAATGTGATTGAAGAGACTGCCAGTAGGCTTGTTGAGTCCAGGAAGAGTAAAGTCAAGGCCTTGGTTGGTGCTTTCGAGACTGTGATTTCGCTTCAGGATACCAAATCCATGGCATCGGAAACAGACACAGAAGATGCAGTCTGATATACCAAAAACATATTGTTACGATTTCTGTACATATCTGAAAAAACACGAATGCAGTAGTTTTGGAGGTTGCGTGGGATTGAAGTTATGCGAGCTTGTGAAGTTGCGGAGGCATAAGTGAAGAGAAAACTGAAAGGCTCTCTGAGAATATGAAACATTTTTCTTGTGTGTACTGCTATACCGATTGGTTTGCCGAAGGAGTTGTGCATTATTGCTATTATTTTTCTGTTGTATGTTTCTGCAACGTGATTGTTGGTGATTTATTAGTTACTGCTTATCGAAATTACATATTTACGAAGCTTGCGATGAACAATTAGGGACCATGGTGTGACTGCCATTTTCATAGATGCCCCCATAGATGGTTATGAGTCGTTGTCATGTGACATGTCTAGAATGTCGGTAACACGAATAAGTACGTAGATATCTAGAGACCAGATTAATTGTTATGGTTCAAAACTCACATCAGAAAATGTAGTGTGGGGCAAAATTGTTATGGTTTTAACAGAGTCATGCATCAATTTTCCAGGATGTTGTGATGTGGACTTCCGATCAACCAGATTCGGTATTTTAGCAAAATTATATAGGAAGAAATAATCTCTAAGACTTAATTGAAAAGTCCAAGCATACAAGACCATTAGTAATTCAGAGAACGTTGGAATTAGTCGCATTTTACCGGGTCTAGATCGTATATTAGTATTTCTCTTATCACGTAAACTATTATCTCCCGAAGCTAGGTGAGTCCTCATTAGTTCCTTCGAACATCGTTTGCCTGCGGCTGGCTGCTTGACGCTGCTGTTGCCGGAGTGACTTGTTGGCAATAGTGAGCCGCCATCCAGTTGAACAGGTCCATATTCATTGATTGCTGCAAATCAAGTTTTATTCAAATTAGTTCCAAAAGTTAAAAATAAAAGATCACATTCCCGAATAGCCATGCTTCTTTAGAAAGTGCTTTCTGGAAGCACATAGCAGGTGCTCTCGCATAAAACACTTGTAAGCATTCTGTTATAAACACTTTTGGTTATCTGAAAACGGTTTTAGCGATTCTAGAAGTACTTCCAAGCATGGGTTTCACGCTACATTTCCTCACACGTATGTGGAAACACGTACTTGTGCTAGGAGGGCACAATATGGATCAGGTAGAGGGTCTGAACCATTATTCGTGCTGGTTGGTTCAGGCTTTGCTTGAGGAGGAGGGTGTGGTGGCATTAACAGCGGCATCATAAATGGCGGCATGAAAGAAGGAAGAGCGGCAGCCACAACCGGCGCAGGATGAATGCGCGTTCCCATTCCGATTCCCATATGAGCGAGGAGTGACATTTGATGAAGATGTTGCTGCTGCTGCTGCTGCTGCATCATTTCTAAAGGCACCATCATATTCATATTCATGTGGCCATTAGGCATGAAATTTCTCAGATTATGCATCATTTGGACTTGAGCTTGAAGTTGTTGCAAGTATTTGATCACCTCATCAAGCATTGAAGCTTTATCAGTCTGTAATTATTCACTTGACAAGTCCAAAATTAACCACAAAAATAACATTCTCTCCAAATTAAATCAATTAATGATGATCATAATTAAGCACACATCAAATTTTCTCACCTTACTTGCATTTGGCACCAACCTTTGCAGCGCTTTTATCTTCTGGTTAATCAAGTCTCTTCGTTTCTGCACGGAATTAGTTTCAGTTAGGGAAGTGATTTCCGCACACAAATTATTAGATGGGGGAGACCGAAATTAAATTGTTACCCGCTCTGACTGATTATGAACAGCAGCAGCTCGCCCTGGTCTTGTTGAGTGTGAACGGCTTGATTGGCCACCTTTGGTGGTTTTCCGGCCATCATCTCGGTTTTCCTGCTAGTTGTAAGATACAAGTTGCGAGAGATGTGACGAGAAATGTGATACATGTAGCATAGCATCATTTAAAGTGTACGACGCCTCAAAGAATATGTACATGTGTCTTACCAGTCCTCCGTGAGAGGCTGAATCCCCGTCGGTGCTTTTGGTCTTCAAACTGGGAGGAGACTCAAAAGAAACTAACGTAGAGGTAGTTGTATGATTGTCCCTGCACAATCTAACACTAGCACCGGGACTAGCACAACTGCTGGGATCTGCATGTTCTTCATGAATGCTATTAGTACTAAAATTATTCTCGAAGAAGCCGGAATCTGATCGACTGCGTTTTCTTATCCACCCCTGTGCCGGCGGCAACTGGACAGAGCTGTCGGTCCATGTTTCGCCGGAGGATGCAACCACCGAGCTTGTGTTTGCCGGGGTCTGGTCATGGCGGATGATATTTGGGTCACGTTTGTGGCATGTAGCTTGATCGACAATTGATTCCAATGTGTCACAAGCCCTGCTCCTGCTCCATGTGGGCTTTGATTGGGCTGTACGAAGAAGCGCACCAAACCCATGCATGGCCAACTGGCCATTTTCCAATTTTAGCTCTGTGACGTCATAATGAGACCTGTAAAACCAAAGTATATGCGTGAATGAGCAAGAAAATCCTAATATAAAATGAAATATTTTGATAAAAAGAAAGAGTATGAATTGTACTGTCTAAAAATAAATTAATTGACTAAAAACTCAATGTTTGAAACCAAAGTGCATAAGGTACATAACCATTTGGTCTAATGATATTTATTCTTCAATCTATGAGATGAGGTTCAAATTTCAATTTCACGAATGATAATTGTTACGAAAAGAAGGATTAATTATAACATGTAACTGGGTTTTTTACAACTCAAAGGTTTCGAGTACATCAAGATTCTAGTTAAGAGAATAGAGCGAGTAAAGAGAAGCATATAAATCCTACTGGTGTAAATAGCATTGCAAAAGAATAAAAACACCAAATTCTGGTTAATTATCCCATACACAATTACACATTGATAAAAAAATAAAAAAACTCCATATAGAAAAGCAGAAATTAAGAGAGAAAATTACATAAATAATCAACAAAAAATTCAAAGGTTTATGAAAGAAAATATGAACAGTGGTGCTTACAAAGGGACAAGACGACTGGCGTTGGGGTGGTTCTGCTGCTGCATGACGCATGCACACGTGAGGAGGAATGGAGGATATCTGTTTTCTCTCTTCTCCTTCGACTTGTTATTTCTTGTTCGTCTTTCCTTTGAATATAGTAATCGTATTCCAAATCAGAACTCCACGGTACTACTCTATATAACTCTCTCTCTCTCTCTCTCTCTCTCTCTCTCTCTCTCTCGACAAATGAATGAGTTGGAGATGTGAGTTTGGACTCTCTCTTATTATTTCATTGTCTTTCTGGTCCCTTTTTTGTGTCACACTCACAATTGCTGTGATGGAGAATTTACACAAAACATGTGGCGGAGAAAAAAAATATATATGCTTTGCCTCTCCCTGGACCATTTTAGATAAGGGTCTTAAAGTCATTTGTTGTTTTTTTTGTTCGTGTGGTGTTTTATACCGTCACAAATCACGTAGGATACTCTCAGTCTCACGTGCACAGTCTTTTACACCTAATACATGAATAATTCGCTCTAAATTCTCATCAACACGAATTTCATAATTCAATTGCCCTAGATCAATATAGATCGAGGGTCTTCAAATTATTTCGTGTAGGATACTCTCAATATCACCTTACACAGTTTTTTGCGTTTGATTAATTTTACATGAATAGTCTACTCTAATACCAAGTTACCATGCTAGACTTTTCATCCTTTGACGACCGATGCTCTCAACACAAATTTCGTAACTCGATCACAGTTTCTTTAAATCTTAAAAGAGAGAGGGTACTAGAACTGGTGAAAATATAGTTTTTCCCTTTAATCATTTAGCCGCTGATATAAGTCGACAATCTCACATTATGCAGTGCCTCAAAGTTCAAGACAACCTCGTCTGGTTGATTTACAACATATATCATGCAAGTTATGAACACATTAAATTTAACAGATAGATCAGTTTTGGTTGAAATTGACAATTTGAGTCCTTTCATGGCCATCTGTCTCTCTATCTCTATCTCTATCTCCCTCTCTGTCTACCTTGTGCTGCCACTTGAGACCAACAACAACTTTTACAGGAATTTATACACAATATACATATACATACATACATACATACATACATACATACATATATATATATTATTGTGTGTGTATGTATGTGTGCGTCATCCGTGGCCCCAAATGACGGGGCCGTGGCTTTTTGACGTTATTGGCCATTGAGTAACCAGTCATCTATGTCCATTTTTGTAGTCGCAGGGCGTGACTTGACTACAATTTTTGTATTTCTTTTTTAAATTGTCAGGCTAAGAGCTAGTTGGTAATTTGCAAGTCATATAAACATCTCTTGCAAGCTGTTATGCGTTATTGTTACAGGAAAAGACCAGATGATGTTTTTAAAAAGACAAAAAAAAAACAGGCGCTTGCCAGGCTGAAGAATCTGGTGCATGTTTTTGCAGAGTTATGTGTGCTGAAATATAAGAGCCAATGATTTATTCAGGTTTGAGCTATATCATGAGAGCTGAATTTTTCTTTTTTGAGAAGGCGATATTCTAAACTACATTTAATCTATGTGTATGTGGATTCGGATTTAGGGCCATCAGAACTGATCGAATTTGGACAACCGTCTTTCATTTTCTCTCCGTCTCATTGATGGTCTGGTTTCTGACTCTTTGCTAGCTAGGGTGGCAAAAACTCGAAAGCTCGAAATTGGATGGCTTCCAGCCTCTTGATCAATCTGGCTTAGGTTAACAACAATGCTCGATGTGAAGCTACAGGAGCATGTGATGCACAGATAGACTGATTGAAGCTAATGTTGGGTAATATGAAATTGTTCGAAAAGATTTCCAGACAAGATTGCCAATAGTTTACTATTGCTGCAGTATGAGAAGCATATTTATAACTTGATGAACATATTAGGAGATCCCAAAATAGCAGTCCAAAGTATGAAGGCAAGATGTGATGAGGAGGTAGCGGTTGGAAACAACGTCGCTTTTGGCGGAAGCAGCTATCTTGTGGTGTAGGTAATTTCAAAGTTCATGGTTTAGGGTAATTTAGTCCAGCATAATGGTCCACCTATTGTGCCCTTGCCCTCAAAATGAGGGAAGCGTTTACCTAGATATTTGATATCTTTCTCGTTGAATGAGATCTCAATTCGAGCGACGGTTTCATTAGATATCTTATAACTATGAGTCGCGTGACTCGCGTCGATCCAAGTCAAAATCTTGGACCTTATTCTTTCCCCCTGAAGTAGTCCATTTCAATACTTTTCATGGTTTAGGCCTGCAGAGGCAAAATTATAACAAGGATATTTTTTTGTAGTGTTTGAGAATTTTAGATGAAGTAGCAGATTGAACAGGTATCTAACTCCTTGTGCCTGCAAAATCTGCTGTCTCAAGTCTTTGAATCGAAAGAGCCAAATATATAGTTTTATTGGATTAGCAGATTCAACACACAATTAATTGCTATACATCATGTACAGATTAAAATAAGTTAGGATTGATGTACTGTTAGGTACCCGTAATGTGGTTAACATGTACAGATTTTAATCAGCAGAAGATCGAGTGACCGATTCACCTTCTAGTAACAAGTGAAGCAGAAACATGTAGTGGGAGCCTTACCTGTTGACCTAATCCTTTTCACCTTTTCTTTCACTTTCGACTCTTCATTTCTTCGTTTCTCTTCCACTTGTGCCCTTGCTCCTCCTGCTATCTGGTCAATTCTTGCTTGCTTAATTTGGTAATGCTGCATGTTTCTTGCTCTTCTCTGCTCAATTTCACTCTGCAATTTCAACACACTATTTCAGCAGTCTTCTTCATTGCCATTCGCAAACTTTGATTTAAAAAAACAACAATTGTTGCAACGTACCTTTCTCCTCTCCATCTTAGCTTTTGCTTTCATTTTCTTCTCATTTTCCCAAGCAACAATTGTAGCCTTCACCTTCTCATACCTGAATAGTATAATTTACCATTTCAAAAGGAAGAAACTGAATCCATCTTCTATCAACAACGATTATGTTGTACTAGTGACTTCCACACATGCCTTTTCCCCTCAGCGCACCCCAGTTGTTTATTTTTGGCCTTTGATTCAATCAAAGGAGAATCAAAGGACACAAAATAATGAGGACATGTGAAAGGAGAAAAGGGGTGTGCGGAGATCGTTCCCGCATAAAACATTTAATCTTTACCGCTTCTGAATCTTTTTCATCTGAGCTCTCTCCCAAGCATCTGCTTTTGTGTCCGCAGCATTACGTCTGCCTGAACTTCCCTTTTGGGTTTGGTATCCATTTGCAGGAGTCGAAGGTCTTGAAGAGGATGCACGATTCGGGTACCTAGATGGAAAAGCACTCTCCTGTGCTCTTTGATCTTTCATTGAAACTTCACCTATTATGAATACAACCTGTTAGTTCTCCGAAACATTTTATCACGAAAAAAGTAAATAGTCAAGTACCAGCATCCCTTGCTTCTTTGTTTGGCCGCCCAGTCATCAGATCCTGCAGACTCTTGGTCCTTGAGATCGGAATGCTTTCCCTCGTCCCTTTTTGATACTGTAATTTAGCTTCTTCATTCGAGTGAATGGAAAAGGCAGCTGCCGCAACCGCAGTTGCAGACTCGATATCTTGTGCATCAGAATAATGACTCATTTCCTCCGAAAAACTGGCCCGGGAAGCCGTTTTGCCCCTTGCTAGGAACAAAAATAAATCAGTGGGAGTTTTTTTAGTTTTCTTGTAACTCAAGCCACAGAATTGAACATAAAATTCAGTTTTCGATAGCATAACATTCTGTTTTGGACAAAATAATCAACTCTAACTACATACATATAAGGAAAAAAAAGTAGAATAGTATGCAGATTAGTACCTACAGAGATTCTGTTTGTTGGGCCGGCAGCTTTCTTTCTTCAGAAACCTCTGTTGCCGGTTCTTCGCTCTCAAATTTCCTGGTTTTCAAGCAGATTACTGTTTGGCTGCCAAGAAAAATCGAAGCAAAGGCGTGTTGCTATTGCTTATATCAGAATTTTGGTCATGAACAGGGAGAAACATGGAAGCAAAGTGAAGCAAAGGGAAAGATATGCTTTGCCGTTTGCACGAAGAAGCAAAGGATTTTCCCCAAAATACAACACCACAGGCACATGAGCATAAACCTAAACTAGCTAGATTCTTCCATTTTTAATTCTATGGGCCTCTTTTCCCTTCATAATTTTCATATTATATTCAGAAACATGATTTTCCCGCACTCTTTTTCTTCTTCTGAACATCCTTCTTTATTTATATCTTTTGATTTCTTCAATCCGAATACTAAAAATGAACTTTGGGGCGTGGACGACGAAAAAAAATGTGTGGAAATCACTTAAAGATGCAGTAGCGTTCTTGAAGTTTTGCCTATCACCATTCCATGCAGGTAGCTGTCCTTTTTCCATTGGATGGGAATGGTATAACATTGGGCACCAACATTGGATTCTGTTGGGCCACCAGAGGAAGCAAGCAACAAATTATAATGTAATTTATTGAAGAATTTTCTTGAGTAAGACTTCAATGCTACGTATAATTCAATGTTACAAGTATTTTAACTGTTAAATTTGAGTTTTACCACTATTTAGATTTTTTATGTTTAATATCAGATATTCTTTTCCGTATTAGTTAATACTACGTAGTGTTAAGAAGAAAACTTGTCAAATTTGATGGAAGTTGGAGGGGGAACTAGCAGATGTGTGTTATTGGGTTTAGGGTTCACTGTCAAACATTGAGAGGCATCTGTGTTTGCTTTTTTTTTTGGGGTTTCAACTTTTCAAGCACTTGGTAATTTTAGCATATTTTATCAATCATGAACAACTCGATAACACAAATAAAAAGAAACAAAAGAAAACTAATCAAAATGATTTAAAAACTTTGAGTTTTAATGATAAGGACAAAATAAAGGGTAAAGTGAATGGTACCAAGACTGACTTTTTAGTGTAAAAGTATGATTTTTCGTTAAAGTAAACAGTACCAGCAGTTTTTCGTTAAATTCCCAAGAAACAACCCGTTTAGCCCGGTTTTTTTTATTGGGTTGTGTCACGTGCAGACACAGGTGTTGAATTTTGTTCCGATTATCTCCTTCTTCAAAGCCCTCTCTCCCTCTGGGGTTCCCATTCCCGCCCTTTCAAGAATTGGAATTCTCCCCCAATCTCAAAACCCTAATTCCCAAAAATGGAGATCACAGAAGAACAAAGAAGACGAGCCGAAGCGAATCGATTAGCAGCACTAGCGAAACGCAAAGCGCTGATCGAATCCGAATCCTCCAATCTTCAACAACAGCAGCAAAACCCATGGTCACTCTTCAAGTGCCGAAAGATTTCTCCCGACCTCACCCCAAGCTCCACGCATTGCATCCCCGATCCGAGACCCGAAATTTCCCGGGTCAAACCTGTTCCGGATATCCAATTTCCAGCGAGGTTCCTGGTCAGGCTTGAAATCTGCTCCCCGGACTCCTTCTCAGCCACCCCAGTTGCCGTAAAAGGGTTTGCATTTCCGGGGCAGGAGGAGTGCTTAAGGAGACTAAGTGATTGCTTGGCTAATGTAAGTAGTTTAAGTGGGTTTTTGTTGTTTTAATTTTGTGCGGTGAGAAAAAAATGGTTGAACAAATAGGAAAGAAAGGAAATTGAATTCTGGGTTTTGTGAATTTTGGTGGTTTGGTTTCCAAAATAGCTTATTTCTAGGCTTCGAAAGGTATTTGTTTGGGTGGCAGAAATGAACATAGAGAAAGGAAATTGAATAAAAGTTTTCTGATTTTCAGTGGTTTCGTTTCGAAAAAAGGCTAAATTTTTTAGTGCATTGAGATTGTTTCTTTCTTATAAAACTATTACTATCGGTATTCAGTACTTGTAAAGCTACTTCAATAAGAAAATCATAATATTCAAACGTATTGCAATTGTTAGTGAGGATTTTGTGTTTAAATTGTGGTGTTATGGAATTGTCTTAGGTCATGCCATCCCATTACACGCAAAATCATGGTGGTGGAAAGGCCGGTGTTTATAAGCTGAGTGATTACAGTGCGGTCTTGAAATGTCTAAGAAGCAGCAAGAGCATTGACACCGAAGAGATACCTTGGGGCACTCTTAATGTTGTAGAGAGACTTTCACATTCTTTTGTTGCGGGAAAATGGATACCATGCAGGCCAGAACACTTGTCGGACGAAATGGTTGATGAGTTCATTGGGAAGCTACCGAAGAAGCTGTTAGATGCACTTTTGCCTTTCCAACATGAGGGTGTTAGATTTGGTTTGCAGAGAGGTGGACGATGTCTTATTGCAGACGAAATGGGCCTTGGAAAGACACTCCAGGTAGTTTTTTATTAAGTGATCTTAAATGCCTTTTGATTTTTATTCATGGTGCTAGGTTTTGACTGCATACTGCCTTTTGGGTGCATTGAGTCAGCACTGAGACAGTGCAGTGTAGTTTTATTGAGTGTGAGTGCTAGAACGCTGCTTTTGATAACATCTGCAATATTATTTAGCTTTTTCACAACCGTGCACATTAAGTGACTCCGCGCGCGCGCGCACACACACACACACACAGAACTTTGTATTATACACAAACAGGTGTATCTCCTGCACTTTAATTTTTATTTTTCTCCTATTGCCCCCTAAAGTTGCCGTGAGTAAATGACATTTAATATGCTAACAATTTTCCACCCAGGCTATTGCTATTGCAAGCTGTTTCATGCATGAAGGTTCCATACTTGTTGTTTGCCCTGCCATTTTGCGTTACTCTTGGGCAGAAGAACTAGAGCGGTGGCTTCCGTTTTGCTTGCCAGCTGACATCCATCTAGGTACATACTTTAGCTGTTCCCAATTTACTTTTGTTCAATTTATGTGTGTGTGTGTGTGTATATATATTATAGATTTACTTCTAAAACATGAATGGATTCTCACATGGTCTTGTGACTCCAGTATTTGGTCATGAAAACAATCCTGCCAATTTAAAGAGATGGCCCAGAGTTGTGGTTATTTCTTACACAATGCTCCACCGGTTGCATAAGAGCATGCTTGAACGAGAATGGGCTCTCTTAGTTGTTGATGAATCCCACCACGTACGATGTACCAAGAAATCATCAGAACCTAGAGAGGTAAAGCATGTTTCTTATCATGCCAACTATCAATGGTTACAAGGACTCTTATAACACCTGGTTTAATGATAAATTGGTCGTATAAGGTGCTCCAAGATTTAAAGTTTCTTATTATTGTTGCCTGTACCATATAACGCTAGCCTCTCTACGCTGGAAATTAAAATTAATAATTTATGAATTTTCTATCTTTTGAGGTCTTTGGTTTTGGATGGTAATTTGGGTGTTATACACTCAATGTAAGGGAAAAAAATTTTCTTTGCTTGTTTCTGCATATTTTTGTCATCAATTCTATGGACTGGCAGCTTAAAGATGCTAGTATGAACAAAAATTGTAATACGAGGAATACTGCTTTCATTCAAATTTAGTCTCCTAGATTGCTTTTTGTGAATATTCATAGTAATTAGTTAAGTATAATATACTTGCAGGAATCTTTTACTATATGCTAATTAAATCTTGTGTATTTACAGATAAAAACTGTTCTTGACATTGCAACAAGGGTCAAGCGCATAGTTTTACTATCTGGAACACCTTCTTTGTCAAGGTTGTAGCATGGGACTTTGAAGAAATTGGCAGCATTGTCTGCAGTTCTGTATTATTTTTGTATTTCTCTCTAGTTAACCACTCTTTAGTCTGTTCTAATGTCACATTTTGTATATCTTCCTAGGTGATCATAGGCCGTATGACATTTTTCATCAGATAGATATGTTATGGTAAGTTCTCTTCACACTGTTATATCTCTATCAACCGGCTTGCTTCGCTCTCGGTTTATTGGTTACTTTACATCTTGCTTTTTTTTTTCTTTTTCATAGGCCTGGTTTGCTGGGAAAAGACAAGTATGACTTTGCCAAAACTTACTGTGATGTCAAATATATCCACGGTGTTCAAGGGAAAACCTTTCAGGTAATATTGAAGATCATATAATTATATTGATTTGTTGAAAATTATCCTCTTTGTGCTGCCACGTTTTTAAACATGATCAGAATTTCATGCTTCTTGGCCATGGCCTAAAAGGCCTTTCCATTTTGTTCTGAAAAGCCTTGTGGTTGACTATTTCAGATGTTATTTCTTCTTGTGGAGAAATTAAACTTACTGTCAACCCGTATCTATATATTTACCTATACATTTTGCAGTTGTGCTAGCACCTTTTATTAGCATCAGTTTTTTCTAAAACGATTTACTGTGACAAAGGAAAGTTTTGAGATACTCCATGGGATTGTGCTGCAGGATTTCTCTAAGGGCACTCGTTTGGAGGAGTTGAACATGTTACTGAAGCAAACGGTTATGGTGTGCTCTTGTTCTTTATATTATCTTTAAGATGTATATGTCCTCTCTTTGAACTCCATGTATGTTTAAAGTTAACTTACATGTTGTTCTAGTGACCAAGGTGTTTCTGCTGTTTTAACATGGTTGGGACTTTGTAATACTTTTTTACCCTTGGTTATTCTTGTTCAAATCTCAATTTTTTAATTGCACACTTAATTGTAGATAAGACGCTTGAAGGAACATGTCCTGGTTCAGCTACCACCCAAACGCCGGCAGATTATACAAGTAGTACTGAAGAAATCAGATATAGCTTCAGCAATGGCTGCTGTCAAGGTGGGAAGAAGTGCCACTAAGAATGCATATTCAGAAAATTTGGATGAACCAAATGGTAATTTGAATATTTTCTGCATTCGAATATGTGCATGCAACCAAAGGGTCATGTATTTTCTTTTATTTCCTGCCCCTTGATGGTTTGGTGGAGAAGCCATTTCGAGAAAAAATTCGTGCAGCTAGTGTTATTATTTATCTGCCTATACTCATTTTTCTTTTTCTTTTACCCTATTGCTTTTAGATAGTGAGGGTTGCTGCAGATCAGGGCAACTTTCCTACCAAGAATTAGGTATTGCAAAGCTAACCGGGTTTCGGGAATGGCTCTCCTTTCATCCACTCATTGGAGAATCAGATGGTGTTGCAAACTTGGAATCAGATTCCAGTTCTCACAAAATGTTAATATTTGCGCATCACCATAAAGTACTTGACGGATTACAGGTGAGATTTTCTCCAAAATTTGTGCTTGCTGTTCATCCTTTGAGAATGGTTGTATTTTAGTGATTAAAGTTGCTCAAGTGGGGTTACTTGGGTTTACTGCTTCAATCTAGGGCCATTGTGACCAGTTATTCAAAAGGTAGTGTGTGTTTAGTTATTTGAAGTTGAAAGGATAAAGTGGTGGACTATGATTGTAATGTTTATGAGTATTTCATTACCGTTGTCTAATTACTCGCCTGAACTCTGTCTTATTTCTGTTGGTATTTCATT